ACCTCAGTAAACATGGTAAAAATGAGTTTATAGTCTCAATCGCACGTTTTCTTCAATAAAGCATGATGTTCATCTAGTAAATGATGGTCCTGTTTACAGTAAAATAGACCATAAAGCAGGGTATGCTTTAAGGGGCTACCCTGTGATTGACAGGTCGCTACCAGAGCCATATACGGCGTCTCTACATCACTCGCCTGTAGTCCTAATATGGTAACTACCGTTCACAAGGTGGTGGCGGCCATAATCCAAGATGGCGATGGCCAAAACGCCGAACTCGAGGCTTCAAAACTGCAGTCCACAAAATAATGGGTGACTCCATGACGACTACGCCCACTTCCTTTATACAGTCTTTGGTCTTACCAATAGCCACTAATTAGCTTTTCATGAACCAAAGACAATAACAAGGTTTAGTGAATTTGTGTGTGAGTGTAAGAGTGCAGTCAATCTACATGTGTGCACCCTCTCAATAACTGGTATTACTGGTGTAACGCTCAACAGAAACGCCCCCCACACCCCTAGACCCACACCCTCAACATAGCCCTCCATTGCAAGTTATTCACCTTTATCTGACTGTGCTCCACTCCCTCTACCACCGTTTTTAACCTTAATAAGTCATTTTTTAATGTGCTGAATCTTTTTCCAGTGGAGTCATCTGAAAATATCTCCTGCGACTTTCATGTTACATAAATATAATAGGCCTACACATGTGTGCATGAAGGTAAGCAATGTCATGCAAAAAATACAAAAAATTGAATTGGCTAAATAAGCCCCCGAAGAAACAAAATAACTCACCCACCCACTACTTGTTCTGGAGCTTTCAAGAATATCACACAGTCCTCATGGCAACTGAGAAAATTCAATCAGCTGATAAGAATCATGTAATATGGTGGAATGCTCAAGAACAATCCACTCATTTTATAATCTTTGCAAAAAGTCAGTTGTCAGACTGGCCAGGGCAGCTAGTGTCTCAAGCGTGTTAAGCAACCAATTTTGGAAGTGGAGCACATTAGTTGACATTCTCCATCTATTCTGTATTTATGTTCAATACAAATGTCTAGATTTGGTGTTAAACTATACTAAATGACTAGTGAGGGAAACTTGCTAACCCCTGATAGTTGTTCACTTGTCCCCTGTAAAGTGTAATTCAACAATGCTTGTCCTGATCTACACATGTCATACATGATATCTACATTTCCCGTAAAGTCACTTTTGTGGTCAGCTATTCCATGAGTTAATGCTTCACTACAGATCAGTCAGAGCCTCAGAGATAGATGCTGTCCTGGCTCTGAACTCTCCAAATGTGCCACGCTCTCAGCATGTTGGCTCAAACAAGCAACAGCATGTCTTCACCATTAAAACGGAGGAGGAAAAAGAAGCCAGCTCTTAGGAAAACTTGACTAAGCTCAAGTCAAGAAAACGTTGTGGAGTTTAACATCTTTGGGAAGAACTGAATGAGCTACAACTCATTGTTCTGGTCCTGTCGACATGAAAGCCTAAACTCTACCACTCTGTCTGAGCTGAGCAAGAACTTCTAAACCATCTGCACTCCTCTCTCTGACTCACTCCCACACACCCCACAGCTCACACACACTTTGAGTATTTCTCACTGAGCCATGAAGTCTTGTTAAACGGCTCTGATGTGGAATGGTTCTGACTCACTGACATAGCAAGTCATACACAACACTCACAACACTCTCAAAACGGGTAGTTTTGTTTCTAATTGGATATTTGATATGAGGTATGCAGATCCCAAATGTATCTCTTCTGATACACAAACCCAGTGCTCTTTTTGGCTCTTTCAATTTAAAAATCTTTACACCTCACTATGTGGAACTGATTACAATGACTCTTCTTTGTGTAAGCTCAGTGGAGACTGCAATTACTCAGCCCAGTACCAATCCAGTACATGATGTCAGTGCATCAATGGGAACCTTGGTCATTTAGATCAAGCTTTAGTTCCTTCTAATCCAATACCATTGATTTTGATGACATTATTTCTGCTAAAAATATTTGAACTTTGATGATTGCTAGGTCTGCATCCTTTGGTTGATGATGTACTGGTGTACTCATCTTGTATGCTTCGAGTTTACAGGTCTAAGATAGTTTCTTTCATTATTTAGTTTTCTTAATTGATATTCTTAACAAGTTACTTACTTTTCCAATGAATGTGTTGTGATTGTGGGAAAATTCAAAGCTATACCATAGCTCTTTTATTTCTTTGTGAAGCAACACAAGAAGATCAAGCTTTTGAGGGTCAAGTAAGTGTGCACACACACATATGGAATTTGACTCTTGTACTTTGTTGCTCCAAATGTACATGCCAAGAAATAGACACAGCTAAAAATAAACATTTGACTACTATGGACAAATATAATTATGGAGACTAATTCACACGCCAATTGGCTTGTTCCGCTAACCTCAGCACATATTGCTCACAGCTTAGCTCTACTGGGCCTTTTTCCTGATGGTGTCTATGTTGGAAGCCAACTTGAGGTCTTGGGAGCTGGTGGATTCCAGAAACCTGAAAGTTTCCACAGTAGAGAGAATGGTGATGGGGGCAGTGTTGAGGGGCTTCTCCTGAAGTCCACCACAGTTTTGATTGTGTTCAGCTCCAGGTTGTTCTAAACCACAACCTCTCGTCTGTATGCAGATGCAGACTCATCACTTTCCCTGATGACTGTTGTGCCATCTGCAAATTTTAGGAATTCAACAGACAGGTCTCCTGTCGGCCCTCAGGAGACTGCACGTGCAGTCATTGGTTTAGAGGGAGAAGAGCAGTTGGGAGAGCACATGTCCCTGGGGGTCCCCAGTGCTGATGGTCCTATTTATTTTGAAAGAGCAACTGTCAGTAGTGAAACACTCGACCGGCCAATGTTGTGACTTCATCACTCAGTCAGGGACAGACTTTTGTGTTTATAGGGCTGGTCCCACTTTACTGCCAAAAATAAAACTAAAGGCAACACAAGTCACACTGCAGTGCATTATGGGACTGCTTTATTAAACTTTTTTGCTTATTTACTTTATTGCATTACTTTACCAGCTGTAGACTGTGCGTGTGTGTATATGTGTGTGTGTGTGTGTGTGTGTGTGTGTGCGTGTGTGTGCGTGTGTGTGTGTGTGAGTAACTTCATTGGCATCTTTCACTTCCTTTGACTCAGTTGTCAAATGTGAACAGAAATACTGCAAATTCTAGATCGTGACATCCTGTCATAAGACACACACACGCTCCCTCTTTACTTTTTCTTTCTCTCGGTCTCTCTCTCTATCACCCAAACACACATAATATGGAACCTCTTAAAACAAAAACTAATTTTTCATAAACTGGTGTAGAGATAAGAGATAAACCCGAAGCCAAAAGAGCTTAAAATGATGGTTAAACTGCCTGTGTTTTGGAATATTTGCCATTTGTGTGTGGTGTAAATCTGACTGTGATTGATTTATGAGATTTGAGCCCTGTATCAGAGAGTAAGATTAGCTGGTTAGCCAGCTAAATTTGGTCTTAACAAAGGCTTTCCGGTATCACTAAGTGGGTTTGCTTTTACCTATTGGGGCATTACATCAGAAGTAAAGTTTTGACCTCCCTTTCGTTTTGAACAATTTTTTTCCAGGTTGTCTAATACAACCAGCCCTCAGAAAGACACAAACATCTTCCTCAAGAATAAACATTATCGATAACCAGAAAGCTTACAAACAAGGTTGTCTATAAGTGCAATACTTTTGGATCAAAATAATTCAATATCCAAATTAGGTCATTTTTATAATCATGATTTTCAGTTATGTGAAATAGCATTCATATCTCATTGGTGAAGCTCGGATTAGTGTTATTACTGCTACAAGCTACCATGTCTAACTACCATGTCTAACTGGAATGTGTCATTTAAGCTGGCTCTCGAGCTGTCAGTTGAGAATCAACACATGCCATGTCGTAAAAGAGTTACAAAACATCTAAATGCTGAAAATGCTCATATAAAAGCTTCTTTTTTGCCACATGGCTGCATGTACAACATAGTTGTGGTAAACTGGTAACAGGCAGAGTCACTCTATGAGACCAACTGGTACTGCCACAAAGTAAACCTGCATCCTCAAAAGTTATTTTCTAGAGACCTATAGAGTCATAATAATTTCTGAAAGACACCTCAACACAGAGTAAATTATTGACATTACTGACATGCCCTTGGCCCTTGCACATTCAAATGAATGGGATGCAAAAGAAGAAAAAGTTCTCAAAGGGGATGAAACAAAAGCATGGAGATATATCCATTTATCCATCCATCCATGGCTATACATATAAAATATATGTATAACATTTAAATCTTACAAATGATGTTTTCAATCAAAAGTAAAGGAGCAGGTTAAAATTGTTGATCGGCAAATAAACAATAACAGAAGAAGACCTGCCCCTGCTGTGACTCTGATTGGCAGTTCCCGTTGGTGTTACCGCAGTAAGATACCCGAGGGCCGAGCACCAAAGCAGCAGAGAAATAGACCAACAAGTTTAAGTTTTTTTTAAACAATTTTTGTATGATATTGTATGAGAAAACAACTCATGACCTGTTAAAAATATATGATTGGGCTAAAATTCCAACCCCAAAGTTATCACTTAGAATCTGAATTAAATTCATCTTTTCTCTAACAGTGTCACTATCCCATTTCACAACAACAATGTTACACCATAGGAGTCCAGTCCACAGTTACACCTCTTCCTAATAGATTGGGGTTTTATTCAACTTAATGAATAGGTCTCTAACTACCTCATCATCATCATTATCGTTATCCGTCACGTTGTCGCGACGACTGGTAGCCTCCAGTAATCAGACACCAAAGAAATGCTGTTATATGTAAAAGTTGCAGCGAAGTTTTTACAATTCTCTCCCGCTGCTTCACGTGTGTTGGATTACATTACGCGTTTCACCCTCACGTCAACGTAAATGGAATTTCATAGTTTGACACATGTTCATTGTTACAGTTCCATTTATTTAAGCAAAATGCAAGTTAGTTACCTGTTAACAGCACGGTGGGCATCAAAAAGCAGTAGAGCACCCAGACAATCACCTGTAGATCCATGTCAGTAGCCTACAGATCAATACTCGGTCCCCGATAATCAACAACGATATAGACTATCAATAACTAGCCTTCCATAGATCAGGGCAGAAACTCGCTAACATATACGGCTCCATTTCCATTATTCCGATACTCGCTCATTATCTTCCATCAAAAAAACAAGAACAACTTTAGCAGAAAGTCTTCAAACAAACTTTCCAATCAGTCAATTGTATTTGTCTTCGTGTGTGTTTAAAGCTGTCCGCTGAGTGCGCAGCTCCAGATCGACTCCTTTCAGTGAAGTTATCGGTGAGGAAGAAAGGTTTTGTTGCATGTGTTCCTTCGGAGACGCCCAGTCTGAAGTAACAGTATTGTAGGTGGAAAATGTGATTCACAGGCAAGTCCGTCTGAAGGGCGTTCATAGAGGAGCTATTCTCCACAGAGCTGCTGCTGCCGCTTCTGTTGGTCACCTCCCTGCTGCACTATATTCCTCTCACTTCTTGTTCAGCCAACACTGCACAGCTTGTGAATCTGCTGCTCTGCTTTGCAACGTCTGTTTGATTACAAAGTTTTGCTGTTAAGTGTCTGCTCAGCAAAAAAAGAGCGTCGAAAAATAATGATATATTTATTGGTAGTTGGGTGTTGGGTTGCATGGGTTTCAAAATGTTTTGCTTGTTTATAGATTAGCATTTCTGACATGACAGCGTCAGTCAATACAAGTCGCTTGTGCTAGAAATAGGTCTTCCTTAAAGGTTTGGTGTCGGATATATGACTTATCCGACACCAAAATAAATGACTTTGTGTGTATCAGTGGCGCCTCCCAGTGTCAAAATAAACACTCTACAAGGTTGTGTGTGGAAAAATAGGGACGAACATGGACAAGGGGGGCCACGGGCATGGGGGGTTCGGTGGTCCACATTGATAGATAGTACTGCCAAATTTTTAATTTAGTTTAGAGTGAGATTCGGTATCGATAAAGTCTGTGACATTACCCACAGCAGGGCTCATCACTCCTCAACCCCCAGGAATGTTTAAAAAGTTCATCAGTCAAAATCCCCATTTAAAATAATTTATAGATAATAGGCTAGGTCAATAATCCTGGTCACTGATGAATAAGTATGCTTGATCAGCATATTTGCCAGCCTCCAGACATCATTGCCTAAATGAGCATAAAGTTCCTTTTTTTCAGTGAAATGTGTCTGTATGCTAAGTTGCTGAATACTTTTGGTGGTTTATGGTGCTTTTTGATTAAATAGATTCCTGACAGTTCTGTTGCATGAACAGAAACTTGAATATGCAAACATGAATTTGTTTGCAATACGTGTAATTTAGTTAATTGTTGTGACAGAACAATTACTTTATTCTAAATAATAATATTAATATATTTTTTACTGCTGGGCAAGTTAACACGTTAATTTCGCGTTAACGCATTCATTAATTAATGCTGACAATTATTTTATCGCGCGTTAACGCATTTTTTTAATTTATTAGAATTTTTATTTTTATTTTTATTTTTTTTTTATTGAAAGACAAGAGACAATACATATACATAACAACAAGAGGATGACAAGAACAGTGGGATAAAAGCCAGCAAACATCCTATAGTCAGTTGTGTATGTATGTGTGTGTGTGTGTGTGTGTGTGTGTGTGTGTGAACGTGTGTGTATGTCCTTGAGCCTTTTGAGATGGGGAAAAAATAATAAGAATAATATTAATTAAAAAACAACAACAAAAAAAACAGGTAAGTATTTTTAATTTTTTATTATTGTCTCATGTCTCATGTTTATCGTTTTGTATTGGAGATATGATGTCCCTTGCCGTAGAGAAAAGGCGACTTCCGCTTCTGGTCGAGGTGGGTGGCAGAAATAAAGAGAGAAGCTGCACCAGCTGTTGCTCTCCCTGGACATGGCTGCGGTAAAGTCAGCAGACACTCAGATTTCCGTGGTCAACTCAGCAGACACTTACATTTTAGTGCACCTATATGCTGAAATTCACGGTAGACGCATTTAAACGGCACAGATCGGGAGCGAGCGAAGGACTTTGAAAGTTAGCGGAAAGATTAACGTGAGACAACATCCGGTTTCTTCAGACGAACATCCGGTTTTCAGAATAAGATGCCAACAAAGTATGAATTATATTCACATTAAGTATAAAACATGCTACCTGCATCTCGTGAACCAAATGTTATTGCCCTTTTGTTCATATAGCAGTACTTTTAAAATAAAAGTGCGCAATACACTACTTTTGAATTCATTATTGAACTTTGCCATAACAATGCGATTAATCGCAAAAAATCCGTGCGATTAATCGCGATTAAATATTTTAATCGCGATTAAATATTTTAATCGCGATTAAATATTTTAATCGTTGCCCAGCACTAATATTTTTTCAACCAGCTGTTATGACATTAATGCCAACTAGGCATAACAAAGCTCTGTCTGTCATGACAGTAAGTAATACTATACTGGTGACTATATTTACAGCTGAGTGAAGGCAGCAGGTATCTGCTCTACCTGTAGACTCTAGCTGGAGTGGTGGTGCACAATGTAAAGCCACAATGATGCACGGCAGATTTGCTGGTTACATTTTGTGCAACCCGAGTCAGACTGTTGTAAAATAACCACAGAACACCCTGTGCTAAGGTGTACATCAAACCTGTTTTTTGATTAATTATTCTACACAGTTGCTTTTGGAGTTACTTTAAACCTTCTGTATATTTAGCTTACTGGACAGATTAGTCATGTCCAATATAAATGTTCTTCTATAAACTCTGTATCTCCATTATGCACTTTAGCCCTTACAACACTAACATTCATCAGCAAATGACCTCCCTTTGGTAGTCTCAATCAAAAAATACAGTAACACTATTTGACCAAGACTCAACAACAATTGTATACATTTACTCTTTACACTTTTACTATTTTAATGTACTTTGTGGTCTTGTCATCCATGATGAGCTGTGGCCCCTAAAATGTTATCAGGTTACTCAAGGAGTATGGAGGCTATAAAATTCAATTCAATTCAATTTAGTTTTGTACAGCCCAAAATCACAAAACACAAATTTGCCTCAGAGGGCTTTACAATCTGTACAAATGCGACATCCTCAGTCCCAGGACCCTCACATCGGAACAGGAAGAACTCCCCCCCAAAAAAACTTTAACAGGGAGAAAAGAGAAAATCAGTACTTGAATCTTAACAACAATTATACAGCTCAGCAAAAAAAATGTGATTCACTGAAAACTTCTCACTCCACTTATAACTCGCTGAAGACCGGTCATTCTGATCCCAGCAAACCTGTGATTTGAGGATTACATGTTGAGTAAAACATCATAAAGTGGGAATCAGCCTGGACTTGTCTATGAGTCAGCAGAAGCTGAGGTTGTCGTGTGAGAAAATGGAGGTGTGGCGTGAGAGCAGACGTGTCACATTAAATGCAGCCCAGTGGCCTTGTGGGCCGCTGCATTGGTGGATCGTCAAAAGTTCCCAACTTCCCTAAATACTTTTCACAATCTAGCTTCACAATCAGAATTTGATCATTTCGGCAGGATAACATTTGTAAAGTCTAAATGGGCCGCATGATTAAATTATTTTATCCCCATTCAAGTTAGCATAGGCCTAATCCGGAAGTTAGTCAGCCAACAAAAACATTTGTTTATACTGTAAATATGTAATCAGGCCTCACTGACCCTATTAGCATGCAACTGATTATAATTAACTTAGCTTTTATTGTAGTTGAAGCAGGTTTTCTGTTTTTTAAAATATAAAAGAAAGTACTTGTAACAAGGCATTACAGCCATCCCAGAATCACAAGCCATGTTTTCACCTCCTGTGAACTAGCCTGACTGCTAGTTTGACAAATTAGTCACTTCTATTTCAGCTTACATAACAACAATTCTTATAGTATGTTTTGTATTAATGGTTCTCAGGACGGAATCCAAAAAAATACATCTGATAGAAAAGTTACATTTTTACCTGAAAACTTTCTCTGGGAGTTTTATTGCTTCCTTTTTGTAACCAAGACGACAATCTAACTCAGCTTGTGCAGAGTGAGTGTAAATTACAGAAAAGCCTGAAAAAATATACATAACACGTAACAGATCGCCATCTTTTACTTTTTATCCTTTTTGGTGACCTCACAGATTTTTGTTGGGACCCCGTCAGGTTAGGAATCACTGCCCTATTCAAATCCATCAGGCTTCTTCATCAAGCAGTGATACCACAATGAAGAATAACTTATTTATATTTTAAATGCCCATTAAGCCTTTCATATTAATGATCATTGTGTGTTGAGAACGTATTGGTATGGGGTAGGCTAGTAACTATATGTGGTAACATATACAGCTGACTATAGGCAGAGCCATGTGTCCTGTAACATCCAGAAGTTCTCAGATGACACTGCTTTGGTTGGTCTACTTACCCGAGGCAACGACCTGGCCTACAAACGGGAGGTTGAATCTTTTGTCAGCTGGTGTGATGAAAATTTTTTTTAATTAAATGTTGGAAAGACCAAAGAGTTGGTTATTGATTTTAGAAGGAAGAAGGAGGAGGTCTCCCCAGTGACAATTGCAGGTCAGCAGATAGAAATTGTCCAGTCGTATAAATATCTCGGGGTCTATCTGGACAGTAAATTTAACTGGAAAAAGAATACTGATGCTGTTTTTAAAAAGGCTCAGTCAAGACTCTTCTTCCTGAGGAAACTTAGATCCTTTGATATCAGCAGGAAGCGTCTTCATGTTTTCTATCAGGGGATCTTGGCTAGTGTTCTTTTTTATGCTGTGCTCTGCTGGGGGGGGGGGGGCATCACTGCGGATGATAAAAACAGGATCAATAAGATGATCAGAAAGGCTGGCTCAGTGATTGGCCTTAACCCAGACTCACTAGAAGTCGCTGTTGAAAAGTGAACAAGGGCCAAGTTAAAAACAATTGTCTTGTTTGAAGGCCATCCACTACACTGTGTCTTCAATGGACTCCGAAGCTCATTTAGTGAGAGACTCTGGATGCCTCAGTGTTCTACTGAACGACTAAGAAGGTCTTTCGTTCCAGCAGCAGTTTGATTTTTTAATGAACACCTTCAGAGGTTTTTATCTTTCTGATGTCAATCATGTTTTATATGGCATTGTCTGGTGTTATTTATCCTTTGTAATGTGTTTTTGTCTGTTGTGCAATGTGGACTGTGTCGTCTGTATGAGTTTTGGGTGGCAAATGAGTTTCCCCACTGGGGATTAATAAAGTTTTCTAATCTAATCTAATCTAATCTAAAATGCTGACTTCATCCAGTTACTTTCCCGTGCTCTGATACGTTGTATTCAAGGTGCCTGTTAGTCCGTGCATGAAGTAGGAAAGTGAAGCACAAAGTATGTGATTAAAGGGACAATGAGTTGATGTTAAGAGGTGTGTGCATTTAGATTAAGAGATATTAACACACAGTACTGAAATGTAAATGTGCTCATTGAAATGTAATATTGCTGTGTTAAATTAATCTTGCCATTGATCATGATATGTGAGTGCAGTTGATGATTGTCAAAAACGATTTATCATGTCCTTAAACTTTAGAGAGATTTAGTTTCACACTAGAGTTAGGACATAATTCATTTCTTTAAAAAGATGAAGATTGAAGACTCAATTTTAAGATACTTTAAACGGTATCATATGATACTGTGTATCGGACGCTAAAGAGTACCACATACCCTGTGCGTCAGTACGCCATGGGGCTTGACAAAGTGGAAGTGTTTGACCTGGGAACAAGAAAGGGCTGCTCACCCTGCTTATTGACTGCATTACACCTAAACATACGGTCCAAAGGCTCTTTTCTGACACCCAGAAATGTCTCGTACACAGCAAAATTAGAAGAAAAGAAAAAATACAGGCAGCTTAGTCTATATACATAGTGTTTTGGGAAATTGTGGCATATTATACCTTTGAGGGGTATTTATAAGTATTTTAAAGTATTTTAATTGCCTCTACATAGCTATGCTTGAGCCAACAGTGGCAAAAACTGGTTTATAGTACGTCACCAGCTCTGACCGTTGCAGCTATAGTTATGTGGATGTGTTTACTTCATGTGTCCACAAAGAAAAAAGGACTGTAATTGACTGTTCATTGGTATTGTTTTCCATTGTGCCAACAAATATATTACGTGCCACCACCCCATAATGCATTGTTAACATGTCGTGGTCATTTCATAGATTTCTGTGAGACCAGGTCGACTAAGTCTCTGCACTCTGCTGCTCTGAATGTTGTTAAAGATGAAAGTGTTGTAGCCAAACAAAACATGCTGTGTGATACCTCTATACTGTAATCTAGTTTGTTCTGTGTGCCGTTAACTGGACCTGCAAACTCTCACAGAGATAAGACAGTTTGAGACATGAAAAGACAAAATGATATGTTGCCAGGTTGGGATGTAAATAAAAGATGAAAGCTGTTCATATTGCATGTATTAACAAGTCTAAATGAGATTCAAGGACACAGAGCAGATGTAAGCAGGAGGAAGGGTGTCTGTGTCTTCTAATTGTAGAAGACATTTATTTGCAAACCGTTAACATTTTAGAAGTTGATAGAATATTGCTTTACCAACTGTCTTTCAATTGTGTTCAACAGCATTCTATATGACAGTTTAAATAAACGATTAAATGTGTCTGATTTTGTAATACACGTATTTATTTGGGCTTTGTTATACACGGATATTACGAAAAGGACGAGTCAGTGTCGCCACACAAAACACTGGTTTTAGAAAAAAATATCAAAGAATGAATACAAAAATAATCAAATCAACAGCAGAGCTGTTTACTAGTATATTTGTGATTCAACAAAGTGTCTTTGATAACTGCTTAGTTCATCAACATGGCCTATCCCTCTTTTATTATCCTATGACGTGCCCAGAGAGGCGTGGCTTCGGTAATTTCGCGCGAATTTCCTTTCTTCTTCCTGTGTAGAGTGAATATTTCCGGAAATCTATTGTCGATGGACAGTATTTATACCGTTACCGACTTCAGAGAGTTGTAGATTTGTTTTCACATTTCGGTCCCTGTGTCCACCTCAATCAGCAGGAAGATGTCCCAGGCTCGAGTTACTGATTTCTTTTCCCAGAGAAAGAAAGGTGTCGCCGGTCCGGTCAAACCAACCAAGCAGCGCAGGAGCGCTGTTGTCGGCCGTGGCTCATCTGAGACCAGTACTAACGTTGCCAGTACGAGGTCAAGATTCGCAAAAAACAAAGGTGGTTTCCTTTGCTCGTCCTCCGTCCATGAAGAATTTGTCAGAGTTATTGACGAGGCAGTGGAGCTAAACGAGGGAGTTTGTTCTATCGGTACCACCGCGAACGATCCCACCAGTCCTCGGACACCAAAGCGGACCTCGGCCGAGACAGAGTTCGACCTCGGAGCCGCGGTGTTTTCAGCCACCGCCGACCATAGCACGGCCAAAAAGAGACGGCAAGAGGAGGTCGTTACAGACGCTAAAGTTAATGTTCCGGAGAAAGCAAGGACGAAGGCCAGGAAGAAACTGGTCCTACCTCAAAACATACCGCAGGTTACGTAACGTTTATTCTTTTCTGGTGGAATCCAGCTCATGGCTGCTCCATATTTGAGTAAATCTGTAAAGTTACGCCCAAGGTTATGCCTCATCCACACTAGCTCAATGTATATATGTACAGGCTCGTTTTCATCCTTTGGTTAAAAATAAGGTGGCAACCATAAACCGCTGTTTGCCTACTTTGTGGTTGCGAGCTTGCGAAAAAACACGAAATTGTTCATATAGAGTGACACTAAACACGCTGTTGTGTATGTCCAGGTTGCAGCCAAGTCCTTGTCCAGTGAGGTGACCCAGCAGCACTCAGCTCCGGCAGCCCCCGTTTCTGGACAGAATGCTGAGAACCATCATCACTTTGAAACCAACAGCTCTCCACAGAGGGGTCAAGTCAACAGCAAGATCACTGAAGGACAGGAAAGCAAGGTAACGCATTGTGTTTGGACTTTCTGCAGATTATGCCTCACTAGTGTGCACACATGCGTGCGTGTTGCTAACTGCAGCAAAACTGTGTGATAGACTGATATTGCTGTTCATATCAAACGATGATTATGGTGTTATTCTTTATTTTTCATATTGTTAACAAATCCTATGGAAAAATGTTGCACCCCTTTCTGCCAGGCTCTGTGTAAAGAGGGCATTGCAACCCTCAAGTCTCGCCTTCAGAGGATCAAGAAGCATGCAGAGGAAATATCCAGCGCTTCAGCGGCCACATCCTCCTCTTCCTCGTCTCCAGTCTGTTCAGCTCCTCATAAAACAACCCCACTTGTTCCCAAAACCGTCTCTGATGCTAAGGCCCTCAAGTTCACTGTAGCGCAAGTCAAAGACCTTGCAGCCAAAGCTCAGCGGCGGAAGGAGGAGAGAGAGGCCAAGAGCAAGCTGAGTGAGACACAAACCCAGGACAGGTGAGCATGTAAAAACACACTTGTAGCCGAAAACCAATATGCACTGTGCAGGTGGGACACTACATTACCACTAATCAAAGCCCAAATCGGAAGCAAATGTGTTTTTTCTCGTTCATAGTACTGGGCAGCCAGCATACCAGCAGTACCACACTCTAGCCCAGGTGGGCCCTCCAGGTCTGTCCCTGCCTTTCCAGTACAAGGTGCTGGCAGAGATGTTCAGGAGTATGGACACGGTGGTCGCCATGCTACACAACCGCTGTGAGACCGCCACCTTCGCCAAGATCAAACGTGGAGTTCAGGACATGATGCACAAGTAAGTGGAATCACGGAGGGATGGCCTGGTTGTACTTTCCGGATATAAATGAGGATGAGTGATTATTTCAAGTTTCAGGTTAGGGATGTAACCAAAACTGTATTCGCACAGTATTAGTAATACCATGGGGCCCCATGTAAGTTAAAAATTAACTGCCATGTCTATGTTTCGTGCAAGGCATTCGAACGGGATAAGTGAAGTCTGTTTTACTTGAATTTACTGCCATTATTCCCCAGGGTATGAAGTCGAAGCTCTGCACAACATCGGATTACATTTAAAATACAGCACAGCTACAAACAAAAAAATCACACAATCCACCAGCAAGTTGGTGTGTCTTTACTTCATTGTTGTCTTCACTTCTCTGCTCGGTTTGTGCGAGTGTGGAGAGGCGCCACTGCACGGGATGAAACACAACAGCAGAGGATATAAGCGATTGTGGGAAATTTTAGCAGCTGCGCATAAATATAGGGTAAACACGGGCCATACGTTTCATTTTCTTCTAAGGCAACAGCCCAATAACCTCAAAGCACTGAAATATGGCACTGTTTTCCTCAAAGCTCAAAAAAACACCACAAAAAAACTTGCTTCTACACACGGATCTTCCAGAAGTTTTGGGATTTAAAAACCGCAAATCTTTTTATAACAGTCATGTACATGAAATTTGACCTTTACATTGACCTCTCCCTAAGCATTTAGGAGCAGTTGGCTGCTGCAAAGCGCCCAGGGGGAAACATAAGGTTCAGGACCTTACTCAAGGACACTTCACAACCTTGACAGATGGAGCTGAGGGACACACCAACAGGACTGGCTGTCAGACCGCAGAAGCTAATGTTTGACTCTTTTCTTTGTCCTCCTTGCAGGCGGTTTGAGGAGGGCCACGTTAGTCAGATAAAGATGGTGTTTCCCGAAGCCTACACATTTCGACAGGAGAAGAATGTCCCGACCTTCAACAGCAGCATTAAGAAGGGCCGCTACCAGCTCACCGTGGATCCAGTCCTTCTCTCTGGTTAGTTTATTAAATCGCCACTTCTTCTGCTCAAAATATTAGAAGTTGGCTTATTTTAATATCCATTACTATATATATATATATATGTATGTATGTATGTATGCATA